TTGCAGGAAAAATAAGTCATTGGGTGTATTCATATTGTTTAAGCCTTGATGCTGGATATACTACATTAATATCTAGTATTGCAGAAAGCTATACTAGAAGTGTTTTGTTTCAGAAGGCTCCAAGGCTAATGACATTTTAACCATTTTTCTTTCCAATATCATATGATTCAATAGCTTTCACATTACAATGAACTCTGCAAACATGTTTTTTCCCTCATCTTCCACGCATAATATAAATGTCAGCAGTTATTGAATACAAATATTTACAATAAAGAAATAGGTCACAACATAAAGACATTAAATGGGCTTGAAAATATCGTAAATGAGTGCATGTTTCTTTCGAATACATTTTTCTGGTGCTGTTCTTTTATTTATATAAGACCATTACTATACAAGTGTAAAGAAAGGCTATGTTTAATTGTTCCGAGGGACATACATCAGGGGGTCCCAGGTATATTGTCTATCTTGTAGGGGTGTTTGGCTTAGAAATATGTAACATCTCTGTTTAAATAAGTTTTCTGAAGGAAAAACATAATATCTGTCTTATTATAATATGGCTGAGTTTTCATCAAAGGCATCCAAGCAAACTCATGTGAAGCCAACCAAGCAACGAAATACGTCCAAACTAAAGGTTGGGGATAGGTAACATTTGGGGGTGAAGTCACTTAATTCTGCTAAATTACATTATCAAAACATTCCAATATGGTCGAACACATTTTGTCATTGACATTCAGAGTGCCCAGATGAGGAATCCTAACTGAGTTGATCGTCTGACTTTTTTTCTGGCAGCACAATTAAGTTGACTTTTCTTTTTTTGACAATGTCTCAAAAAGCATTTGATGATTTACAATGACTTTTCTACTAGCGCCACCATCAGGTCAATGGACATGTCTCCAATACTTAGTTTATGATCAAACATCTGCAATACTAATAACATCAACCTCAGTGGTATGGTGTGTTGATTGTTAATAGTCAAAATTAGCACGCTAAATCACAGTAAACTCAGATGATGAACATGGCAAACATTGCCTGCTAAACATCTGCATACAAGCCTCGTCAATATGCTGAAAAGTCAAAGAACTGCTGAAGGCTTTCTGTCTTTTTTCTAACTATAAAACAGTAAAAAAGTTTTTGAAATAACACATTCAAAATCTGATAAGTAGCAATTCTAAAATTTCAATTTCCAGTGCAGCCTGAGTCCGTGAATAACAATAATTTATATTAAAGTATGAGTTTGAGACAGCAGCAGTCTGACACAAGCTGGAGCTTTCCCCATGGTGCCGACGCAGCACGGCTGGAGCACACAGTCTGGCTGAGAACAGATTTATGAGGGGGAAGTCCTCTGATTAGACACAACTATCCACTGATGAGAGAACAAACACTGCATCAGCATGTTTGTCAATTACTACAATGCCTGCCCCACACACACATTAACAGCCCCTCCCTTTAAAGCTTTTAAACAGATTTCCTTCATTCACCTTCTCTAATCGTGAAACTTGATTAAATTGAATGTGAGATCACTGCAGTTATAAAGAGCCAATTAACACAGGGCAGATGTGCTTCACGGGAATATTAAAGCACATTACACTGATGATATGTGAATTTATGGGGGCAGAACCCCTCTTTTCACTCATTGATTGGAAAGCTACAATGTACACCTCCCACACACACTTTAAGTATAATGAGCATGGAAGAGCACTACAAGGGATTAATATAAGAGTCCACCTACTCGGTGTGTTCCATAAAACGGTCATTAAACAAACAAAGGTGCACAGTTTGGCACACTAACTAATGGCATAAAACATTTGCGATGGTAGGTAATTACAAAGCAGACAAGTCCAAAACCCAGCGTACACCCTGCTGCTGCTGAGATTCTCTTTTCCTTTCTCCCTCCATGAAGAGAACACCCAAGCATCGCCAAAATTGGATTTGAGGGAAGAGAAAAATCTGCCTCTTTTTATCAGTGTCCTCCCTCACAAGTCAAAAAAGTGAACCACAGTGCGTGTGCTCAAAGCGCAGCCTTGATAAGAACACCACCAAGCCAGGGATTTCTTCTGTTTCTTTTGATGTGCTCTGATCTGGAAATAAACTCCATAACCGAGCTAAGGCCAACAAACCAGCAAAATGATATTACAGGACATTTTTTTCCAGAGCAAGCTCACTTAAGACTCACCTAAACGTAACAGCCAGATGCTTCTTATAGCAGTAGAAATGATGAGCTTTTAAGGGTTTGAAAACGAATTTAAGAGTTCTCCATGATCTTTCCTGGAATCTTCCGGTACAATAAAACATTATGACGAAGACTGAAGTGAATATAAAAAGATCCACCTATATAATACATGTTTTAAACCCAGCTGATTGTAAATGTTGATTGTAAAACCTACAACAATGAGAAACAGACACAAAATGGGATGCAAACAAAGAAGTTCTATACTGTTTCTGAGTCTCTACGCATGAAGACAGTCTTTCAGTATCGTGTGCTCTCTCAGCTGAATGATTTTGCATCATTGAGATGTTATACTGAACTCACATCTCATACAGATAACTTAAAGTCCATTAATGTGAGTCATATTTCCCTTTTTCTATTACATATAAATGCAGTAGGTCACCTCTCTCTCATTTCTTGGTATACACTTCATCAAGGACATGAGTAGCAAGGTTTAAAGACTGCCAGGGGCAAAAGAGGAGGAGCTGGATGTGTGCCACTGCACCGGGACGCAGGACCACAGCAGAGGATCTTTCTGAGGCCGACTACAGATAAAAACTCTGCTGAGAAAGAGCCTAAGAATCTCTGTTCAGTTAATCGAATGTTGGTGTTCCAAAAAATCCTACGACAACCTCAATCTCTTGACGGGGATATAGAAGCAAGAGGACAGACACATAGCTGGGGACCAGAGACAGCATGGGCTGTGTGCTTAGTGCTTAAAGATGTAGACTGAAGGCTATCCCTGCTTGATCCTCTTTTGGATCTAGTTAAGCTTAGGATAAGACGAATGGAGGGAAGATTGGATATTCTCCTCAGGAATCCCAGCGAGGTGTCTAGCTGGAAAACACCAAGCAGCTACACTTCATAGAGAGGACAGACTTTTAGAAATAGGCCATAATATATTAAGCCAGTTCAATAAGGAGGCGTGTGGTGCAGTGGGTTGTGAGTTGGTATTCGGATCAGGAGGTCACAGGTTCAAACCCCACTGCAGTCAGCATGTCGTTGTGTCCCTGGGCAAGACACTTCACCCCAAATTGCTCCTGTGGGGATTGCCCACAGTATTGAGTATGTAAGTCGCTTTGGATAAAAGCATCTAACAAGTGACATGTAATAAAAACATAACAAGTTTAACCTTTATCTTAAATGTGTCAGTGTGCCATTCTAACTTCGATTTGAATGCAAGATTTTAGTCTATTTTAGGTCGAATAAGTCTGTCCTGATTAAATGTTGCAGTCACGCCACAATACGAGAAGTTTCCCCTCCCTAATTACGGCTCGATTATGCTGTGCAGGCATTTTGCTAGCCCGGGTTTGATCCTCTCATTTCCTGGAGTGTGTTATCAATTTTCATCACTATTCACAGTGAGAAGCTGTGTCCTGCAGCTTTATGACACACAATGCTCAATTAGGATCATACCGTGTATGGTTACTGAGCAGGCCTTGGCATATGGAAAACATCATTACTATTCACTTCAAGCCAGTGAGTCAGCACTCATCATAGAGATGCCGTCAAACAAGAGTCATCCTCAGAGCTCTGAGAGTGAAGCCTATAATCAAGGTGTACGTGCACAATGGATATACGAGATGCCGTTTGAGAGTTGAGCATTTCACTTTCTGAACATGCATGACCTCTGAATTCTGTTAGATGTTTTTCTTATTGTTACAATAACTGATACATGATTGGCTTTGGGCTGTATGACGTGAATATAATGATAAGGCTTGGCCTCAAGGCAATAAAGGAAAACAAGATATGGTCAATGAACAGGAAATATGTATTCCATCGCTGAGGAAAGAACATTTGCAGCTGCAAGGCAGAAGCTTATAATTATATCTGCTTGATAAGAACAGAAGGTGTTATCAATAGAAAATATTCACAATAGTCAACAGGATACTTTGTTCAAATAGCACAAACAAATTATGCAATGTGGTGTGCATATTTAAATTGTCATTGTTTTAGCAAGAAGTCATATAGAGAGAAAGTCCTCAAAACAAAAGATATCTGTCTGTTGAGACAGGAGAGGCATCCCTCCTCTGGTGCTCTCCCTGAGGTTTCTCCCATTTTCCCCTTTAAACTGTGGGTTTTTCTCTGGAAGTTTTTCCTTGTATGATGTGAGGGTCTAAGGACAGAGGGTGTCGTATTGTCATACTGATATTCTGTACAAACTGTGAAGTCCACTGAGACAAATGTAACATTTGTGATATTGGGCTATATAAATAAACATTGATTTGATTGCCTCTATTTACGATCATGTTGTGATTTGAGCTATGAAGATCTCCGTAACTTTTCCCATAAAATAATTATTGGCTTTGAGACTAATTGTTATGTAATAACCTGACATGACAAGCCAAAATGTAATAAAACCATGATGCTTCTGTTACACAAGAGCATCCCTGTCATGGTGAAATATTCATGAGATACATGTTATTTAAGGCCAGAGCTGCTCTGGGCATGTAGTACAGGTGGAGTGGGGCTTCATTATACATCATGTATACTTGAACAGATATGAACTCCATTTTTTTTTTTTTTTTTAAATGGAGTATCTATTAAATATGCCATGCAAAAAAAAAAAACTGTGTGGCATCTATATTCAGATGTGATAGAGCATATTGACAATTGACTCCTGCAACCCGTATCTCAGGTACTTGTGTCCCTTATACCTGGCATGAACTTGTCCTATGTGTTGGCTTCAACTTCTTCATGTCTCTTTGGATATTCTTTGTAAGCAATAAACACATTTATTTAGTTGAAACACTGGACTAGAAGACACAGTTAAATTGGCTGACAATGTGCTTACCTCCAAAAAGTAACACCGCCGACTGAAGCGCAAGGATGTGCAACATGTTTCTTTGACTCGTTAGGCAAACGAGTATCCCCTTGAAAAATTGTTATGGAAGCCAATTGGCTTAATTCAAAGAAGAAAATCCAACTTGTAGCATCGTTAGTAAAAATTGCAAAATCATCTTTTCTGGTAAAATCGCCATGCTTCATCCAGTCATTTGCAAGTGCTAAAAAAGCTCACTATGTGAGAACAACACATTTGAAGCCTTGTCACTTGAGTCCTGTCTACTTGTGTTTGTCTGGAACAATCAAGAACTGTAGAGAAAGAACTTGCGCACAGCTTTGCATCACTCTTTGAAGCATTTTTCGAAAAGAAAGAAGATTATGTCTGAGGAATTGCATAAACCCAGGGAAAACATATATATTGATACATCTTCAAAATGATCTCAGTAAACTCCGAAACGATTTTCTCCAAAACAGCCAAACTGAAAACGGATTCAGTCCCTTGTCCTCAGTTTGTCTGCTCTGTATCCTCCGCATCACCAGTCACCTGAAGTTGGCTGCTATGCAGTGCGTAAAGTCCGACACTTGTGGACGAATAGAAGCAGTTCCCGCACAACATCATGTATGTTATAATATATAAAAGTAAAGAAGTTCAAATAGCAACATTGGTCAGCGTACATCCACTCCCAGGCAAGTCCTGAGCGCAACTCCAGCAGCAGCAGAACACGCAGAGGTCCGATCCCGGAGCCAAGATGCCACTTCCAATTACACTTTGGCACCAAGTGGCTCAAATATTCAGCGAAAGTCCGGTTTCAAGCCTCCATCTTTCGATGTTTATGTAGACAGGCGATAGGCTACAGTTTCAGTGGAGCTTACGCACTGTGAACCGTCCAATGCGCGTCGAGAGAAGCCGAGGAGAAGAAAGCAGTGACAGAAGCTGGCACTGGCACACATCGGGAGGCGTGTGGCGCTCCAGCAACACACTATTCTTCAAAGGTAGTGGTGAGAATACGTATACATATTCTATATTCAACACTTTTTACAATTGAATGTATATTCAACTCCAGAGGCAGACTGCTGAAGTGCAGTTTATCGTCATATAGGAAGCATCATTTATAAAGTCAAATAGTTTCCTCCTTACAAGAAATGCCTCACACTTCGTTGCCCTCTGTGGACAACAATAATGACTTTAAAAGTTGTTATCGAACATGTCGAGGAACGCATGATTGCTCCACTCGACAGGCACTAGTGACCCCGTGTGGCAGGGCAAGCGAACTGAACAGAGCTGCTCAGGTGTGAAGATGGAGGGCAGAAGGCAAAAGGCATTTAACACTGTGGGAACCATACCAATCTAATCAGAAACCAGTGGTTAAAGTGACATGAAATCACAAATGTCATTAAAATCATGTTACTGAGTGTGTCTTATCTCAGTCAGTCTCTGTTGTTCAGTTGGCTGTGGAGCCAAATAAGAGTTTATTGTGTTCTTGTTGCATGTTTACTTCTGTATTTGTGTAGCCATTTTATTTTCCATTATTCATTCTTGAGGACACATGCTCCATCTCAGCATGCATTTTGAAAAGATGTAGCCTATTCTCTAGCAGACTACATGAAAATGACAAGATCTTTCCATAAAGTAATGGTATCCAACTAACATGTATTATTGGTAATACTTTAATCCAGCAAACTATGGCTCTACTGCAAAATAATCTCTGATCAAACATCATACATTTGTTTTTAAAAGAGACTGAGGCCATGTTTGCACATTATTTAAAATTAAACTAAATTTCCCCAAAAAACTAGTTATTTTTGATGACTGTAGTAAGTGATTAAAATCTGTGAGCCAGATCAAGTTGTTTTTCCTGTGTAGGCCAGATGTTGTAAATGAAAGATAAAGATAGATCCATGAATGCTACAGAAATATCAGATGAGTGTTTGTTTGTATTGCTCTGCTTGCCTGCCAACGCTATGATCACTATAAAGCGAATACCTTGTATTAGGTATTTTTGTGCTATTGATTTTAAGGAAGACTCTTAGTCTTTTTTTAGATGTATTGATTTTACGAAACATAGCCATGTTATTTAATCAACAATAAAACCCACCACATTTTAAATAACCTTTTGAAAGTGTATTGAATGTGTGTGTTGTATTGTATCTTAGGTGCGCAGTGTAATAATACTTGATTTGCAGGTATAAGTACATTCTCTGACTACAGGTACAACATGCGTTTCTTAAAGCAGAATGGTATATATTTAAGTTTTAAGCATATAGCTTGAAGGCCCTACTTAAAAGTCATCTTACATGCTGTCAGTCAGTGTATCACGAATCGACTGACAAGCCAAACTAAAGTACAGTACATGGCAAAGCAGATGTGCTCAAAAGTGGCCTACTTTGGACCCTGAATGCAGCATTTAGGTCTGAAAAGGCCTGTCAACTGAAAAAGGGAAACACACAGAGCCCTACTTACATTCACACAGATAGAGTGTGAATTATACTTTAAGATGTTTTCAAAGGTGAGTGTTTTGAATCCTTTTGACCACTTAATCTAAGTGTCAGTCCTAATGTTAATGCATCCTTTCTAGGTGACTTCAAATTTCTTTTTATCCCTTAAGGAGCCTTTTCTTCCTTCTGAATGTGAATTTGATCGTGGAACCAAATCCACTCTTGTACAGCTGCAAAAAGCATTAGATGTGGGGGGGGGTGCAAAAAGTGTTGATGTAGAGCAGTCACTTCCCTAGCTGTAATGGCTGGGCTGGAACATCACTCTCAAAAACGCTGGTGGCTGTCCAAAAGCAGTCCGTCTATAGCCTGACACTCAAACAAATCCATTGAAGCCCACGCTACACTGAGGTCCATTTAACAGCTGGAAGTCAGAGGGGAAACCAGACAGAGCCCAAGTTGCTTGGGTTACATCGTCTGTAGCTGCAAGTCATTAAAAACAGCAGCATAACCCCTCTCAGTCCCGCATATGGTAACTCCATTTGCCTTATTGTTATGAAAACTAACACACCATTAATCTTTCTCCTAAATAAGATAAGACACAAACATGTGGGAGTTTATATAACAGCAGCTTGGGCAAAAATACAAGTGAGTGTGTCTATACATGTGTAACGTTTAGGTGCGCAGACCTCTCTGACGATAGGTATTGAGACTTTGATGTCTGGAGAAAAGTCTCAAGTCTTTGATGTCTTGAAAAAGATCTGGACGCTTTCATACCTTGAAAATACACCCAAGTCTGAAATGTCAGACTCGAACATACAACACTGCATTTCAACATCCAGACACCTATCAATAGATTTTTATTTGGCGCTTGAGTTTGTGTAAGGACACAGAGTCCCCCTAAAAAAATACTAAAATCAAATGCTTGTAATATTTATGTAAAAATATAATGTTTGTCAGGCATATTCAGATATTAAGAATACCATCTGGGTGAGTAGAAACACACTACAGGCTGTGTTTTTGAACTAACCCAGTGTCACCCAATGACCTTCAGTAGGTCTCGGGGGTATATACTATCCTCTCTCTGTACTATACATAAGGAATCGTCCCTTGTGTCTTCTTGGGTGGTATCCTTCATATATGACCTTAACCAGCCTCAGTAGCCTGTCCTCCAGTAAGTTGGTAGACAGGGTGCCCCAAATTCATCACACCTTTCATTCTCCTCCCCTGGCCTATCTGATCTATGATAGCATTAATAATAACCGCTGCAGAATGCCCTGTCGCCCTCTGTGCCTTGCCCACTCCCGGCCTGCGCAGATTACCACCAGCCATTCACAGCCCATTAAAAACGGTATTTACTTATCAGCCTCTCTGGGGCTGTCACTCTGTTTTCAAGACTGATGCCCCGGGGGAAGGCAAAGAGTGACCTTCCTTTGGCCCCGAATGCTGTAAGTCATTGCTCCCAAATGATTTGTCCTTTATTTTTCTGCCTGATCTATACTGAAGACAACGCTAGTCCCTTTCCATAGCAAGACGTAAACAGTTTAATTACTCTGTATAGAATGAGAGAAAGGCTTTTTAATTCAGGCAGTGGAAGAAATCTTTTTAACAACACATAATCCTTTTCTGGTGAATAATTAGATACAATTGGGGTGTCGTTTTTCTCATACTGATATTCTGAACAATCTGTCCTGTTGTATTTGCTGTAAAGTGTCTACTGTAGGCTATTTTTATTATATGTACAGCACTTTGGCTCGACCAAAAATCGTTCATAAATGTGCTATATAAATAAAATTTGATTTGATTTGAAAAGCAGTTTTCATATCTGTCCAATAAATATGAAGCTTCAAATAACACGAAGACTGGAAAGAGGGAGAACACAGATAGCCTGGCTCTGTCCAATGCTCACAAAACATGCCTACCAGCAGCTATAAAGTTAGCTAATTAACATGCAATTTCTTGACATTTGAAATATTCTTCCAGTTATGTGCCACATTATGTCTGGGAGCACTCTTGGAGCCAGCATTTGAGAGGCTGCCGACAATGTAAAGCTATTCCATTAAATGGATCATATGACGACTACTTATGGTGATGAATGGGCAGCTCTATGGACTATTTAGTGTTTCAGCTCCTTGTTTTGGTTTCAGTCGACAGCTGAACAGCTTTCTGCTTTCGGCAGCAGCAGACAGCTGTTTTGAGTTAAAAAGAGCTCTATCAACCGACTGTATGCTACACAGGCAACATTAGCAACAAGCTAGTGAACATTTTCCACTTAAATAGCCGGAAATGTATCTCAGGACTTGGAAGAGACTAAAACCAAAACTAAAAGAAGAGTGAAGAATGGACATATACATCCTCCCGGTAGCCAGAAACATTAGTCCAAACAAAGGCTTATGTGGCTGCATATATTTTATGTGCAAACCCGCAAAACACATTAGCCATCACCTTCAAACTTTTTCAAAGGTTTTTCAAAGGTTTTTCAAAGGTTAAATGAAAGAAATAATTGCAATGTTGATTGTAATTACATATCTTACTCGCTGTGAAATGTACTTATACTTTATGAAGTATTACTATGCTGAAACACCTTGAAGATGCTATCAAACTATAATGGCAACACTATAAGTTTTTCCAAACATTACTCTCCTCGTCTCAAATTTCAGAGTTTCCTATAGTTGCAGTTGGGGTCAACTGCATATGTGCCATTATATTTGACTGACAGTTGAGTAATCATGATAGCATAAATGGGACAAGGTGAACTCTCATCATTATTCCTTACACAGACAGTTATTTCTTATCAGCTAGAATATGTCATGGTCTACTTTGGGTGTGCTTAACTTCCCCTGACCTTTAAAAATGGCTGATTATTTCCATCCACAATCTTCAATCACTCGGCAATACGCTGCCAGCACAAAAGGATATTAGGCCCAGACCTGCTGGTCTGATAATTCCAGCTCTCGGTATGGAACTAAGAGAAACCAAACCACAATGCGCTGCCACTCTATTATAATTTCACTGCCTCCACATTCACCTTCCCCGCTGGTATTCTGTCACCTTAGGCCTCAGAGTGTAGCTTTTACCGGAGCTGAAGAGTTCTGTGTGTTCCGTTTTATTACATCTATAAGTACTTTTTATCCCCGGTAATTAACCTCTATTTTATGCATAAGCCTCTTGGGACAAACTACCAAGCTTTGCATAACCCAAAATACGTTGTAGCTGTGTAAATCTCCTCAGCGTTGGAAGACCTCCATATTTCTCCAGCTCCCTTGACAACACTATTGGTTAGAAACAGAGAGAATCTCACAGGGCACCAACAGGTCTAAATGTTTAATAGATTCTTATTTTACTTGTGGTAATCTGGTCATCAGAGATTCAAGGAGGTTACATCTATCACCCATGGAACAAATACAAGTCTTAGTGTGTCTTGCTCCCTCTAACCTCAGGAGGAAATGTGAACCAGATAAATGATGGCCTTGTTTCAACAGAGGCTCAATCTATTGCCAGCTATTTGTGGCCAACAAAGTAATTTCGATACCATTCTTTGTATTGATAGATGGGACCTACATTTGATAAAGAGCCAATTTACTCGTAAGGGGTATAGGAATGGAACCTCCGTTATCTTCCCTCTTTGCCTCCATCCTACCAATCCCGCTCAAAATTAGATGGAAAGAAAAAGACACAAACAGCACAGAGGGTAATATTTCCCAAAAGCTTTGCTCTTAACTATCAACATCACTCTTTGATACCCATAATCTCTGTGTGTTATTTTACCATATAGTATTAAGAGAGGTCATACTGCTGTATCAAAGTGAAAGGTGTTTTGTTTTAGAAGATTTTTTCAAGCCATTTCAAATTGTATGTTTTGATGGCCACAAGCACTTAATGCAACGCTTTGTAACACTTGCTGTGCCACAGTGATGTTCCTAATCTTACTCAATTACCTGCATTTATGCTAATGCTAAACTGGAACGAGGAGCCCTGCAGCAGGGACTTTCTTTTTTCATTTTCATAGCCAGGCACAGGATGTGTTTCGCCACCTACTGTTACTGTTGTCTGACAAGGCTCAGTATGCTCGTGTGACCACATGGTGGCAAAGGTACAAATTAACCTCAGAGTGGAAAAGAGAGATTGCCTGCTTCACCGGGGAAATCCAGACAGGTGTGTGCACAAAGAATTAAGCACTAATCACGGGCAGATTTGTAAAAGGGGAGAAAAAGTATATTATTCATGTGCACATGGCTCCAAAATCATAGGTAAATTGAGCCTGTTTGGAAAATAACAAAAGAGATTTTAGCTACATTAGATGGACTCTGGGCAGGCTGCCATGCATTCAGGGAACAATGCTATATTGATTGGATCTGTTGAAAGTCAAAATAATAATTGTCTTGAAATTGACACAATGAGAATTAATCAAGCTTTGATTAAATTACTGCAATTCTATTTTCCCCTTCAGAGGAGGGGCTATTGGTATGGAAAACGGATTCTCCCAGGGCCGTTTGTTTGCATTTCTGCCCATGTCTACATTAACATGATGGTTTATGTTTGCTTCAATGCATGAGTAAAACTGTGCGCTCATGCATGAGTTTATAATACCAGATGTGTAGCATTGATTGCAAGCTCACAGCTGAGGGGTGTAGACATGTGGTGCACTGCTGCCACCTAAAGACAGAGTTTAAAAACACCATTATTTGGTCAGCAGTCATACGGCAAACTGTATTGAATTACACACAACTATAGTCAAATACAATTATGCCGATCTTGTTTACTTATTAAGTTTCTAACAATATTTGAACACATATTTTGCAAAAGATTGATATTGAATTCTTTATGTTAAGGATTTGAACAAATGGAGAAAGCACTTGCCTAGCTTGTTTTTTTAAATACTTATTTTTAGGGGTCTATTGATATCCTATATTTGGTAGAGATTGATCAAATTACATGTATTAAATGAGGAGGAGCTTACTTTGTTTTGTGTTTGCTCTTTAGTTTTGTTTCAATGCAGAAGGGTAATACATTCAATCAATGCTAAAGGCTGTATCTCAATATTTAAATAAACCAATTGGGACATCTGACAAAGAATCTCATAAAGGTATGTATCAGCTTCACATGAAGTGCTGCAAACACAACCTTTATTTTACTTATCCTCTTTGTTTTCATATAATTTTGTATTTGAGGTCACACACTCTTAAAAAATATTAAATAAAAGTGATTTGAACTAATGTTTCTTCTTCAGTAGTGTGTTAGCAACAACATATGTTATGTTAAAATGCACTTAACATATGCTGTGTTGAAAATCAAACTCACAGATATGTTAAAATTACATATTTAGTTAGAAAGCACTCCTCCACATCTCTCAAAGCGAGCCATCTGTCACCAAAGCCAGACACAGCAGGGGATTGCTTGCTAAACAGGACAAAGGTGACTGTTACCAACCAGATGCTGTCAGCAAAATGGAGTAGTCAAAAATCAATCTGAAAGCTGCCGTTTTAGACTAATGTGCCATATGGACAAAGGAAGTGATGTGTCGGAGCTAAAATATTTTCCTAGTCACATTTTTCTCAGAAAGAAAAAAATTGAAATGCTAATCAATGACTTGATCTCTGAAAAAGTACACACAATTAAAAAAATGTTGGTTATTATTTCATGACAGAACATGTCAGACACAAAAGGGAAGTATAATCTGCGACACTTGACATAAATAGATTTTAAAGATTAAACTTGCCGATCGACTTGAAGAATTACTTACAAGGGACTGACATATGTACAGTTAACAATTGGGATGGTTGTTTGGAGGGAAAACATTTTTTAACGTCTCTGGGCAGTGTCCTGAGATATTATTTGCAATTACCCAAGCTTATCACCACAATTTAAATGATAGGCACACATAAACATCCCACCGTTACTAGTTCTGACCATGGGCGGTGTATATGTTCTATCTAAATACTTGTTCTATCAAATCTATTATCATATTAAGATGTTCCTTTTGATTAAAATAGCTGATAAACTTGAAAGAAAAACTACTCACAACCTGGTGCTCAAGGTTCAATTAGAAACTATATTGTTCACGAAATAGAAATTACCATTCGCTTCCCAATCCCTTATTATTTAATAAAAACTGCAGATACAGCCCAGCTTTCTTCTTCATTTATTCATCTACCTCTTTTTTAAGCAGTAAACTGGACATATTTCGTTTAGTGCAGGAAAGATTAGCCATTGTGGTTGGACTGCAGGAAGGAGGCTATCACCTATATCATATTGATGAAAGCCCTCATGAGAGCAGTGTCATCTTAGCAAACACAAACCACCCAAAGCAGCAACGCCTACATGTTCTGCCCAAATACTCGGAATAGGGACTCTATTATATAACGCGTTCTTCCCATTGTAAAGCGTCCTTGGGTTTCGTGAAAGGCGCTATATAAATTGAAATTATTATTATTATTAGAATAGCTGAAAAACTACTCACAACCTGGAGCTCAAGGGTCAATTTGTTCACAAAAAATAAAATACCATCCGCTTCCCAATGTCTCTCATTATTTAATAAAAACTGGAGTAACACTGCAGATGTATCTTTTGTTCCTCATTTAGTCTTCTCTTCATTCATCAGTTAACTTGTCAGTGTTCGTTTAGTGGAGAAAATATTCGCCATTGTTTGAGGACAGAGCGTGAAGTGGAACCTTTGTTGCACTTTTAGCTTCAAGGGGGACTAAAAACACTGTCGGACCCATGTGGGCGTGCGGGACAAGGGCTTCCTGTTATGAACTAAGGGAAACGACCCGGCGGGAGTAACGTTATCAGTGAGTTTCTTACAATTTAGATCATTTCATTCATGATTTAGAAAATATGAGCGATGCATTTAATGTAGCTACCAATGCTAGCAGTGACTGTGACGTTTAACATGTGCATGCTAAGTTAGCTAGCTAGAATATAACTTTTTGAGAAGGTGACGATTAAATGCTATGCACATAGTGGCAACGTGTCTAAAGTAGAAAATTAGTTTAAATTGTGTCCTATTTCCAACCAATACATGTGTCTGCTCAACAAAACGTTAAGAGACTCTATACAAAATGAAGTCCCTTATATGACTTAACTGTTGTACTTTGTTTTTTAGGTATTGACTTACTAAACAGTGTTGAGCGGAGGAGCTATGCCTTTCCTCCATGGGTTTCGCAGGATCATATATGAGTACAAGCCGCTCGTGGACGCTGTCATGAGTGCAGTCGGACTGCTGGAAGGAGGCGGAAGTCACGAGGACAGGTAAAGCTGAAGCCACCATATGTATATTATTTATAAATAGTTGTAGGCAGAGGACGATATAAACATTTGTTTTCACGATTATCCTGACCAAAGTAGTTGGTTATTATATAGAAAATATGCTTAAAACTTACTGGAATCACAAATGGTATTTATTGCATCACAAATAGGACAGTGGTTTTGTAGTAAACATCCTTTTAAGTAAAACACAATCAAATAATGACTCCTAAATCCTGAGGCTGAGGATGAAAGTGTTAAAAACAAATTGCAACATGTTGTGAGTCTGTTCTTTCATGATAATGACATATCCTTGCCCCATTTTTTTTTTTACTTTTCTACCTTTTCAACCCACACTGCTTTTTCAAGTCACTTGTTGTGAGGATATTCAAGATTACCCAGATCATGGGATACCACCCTGAATTAATTGTCAGAGTATTTTATTGTAATTTGCTAAAAAGAAAAAAAACGTTACTGTACACAACGCCAAATGACTATATACAGGACCGTCCTGTATACAGCCCTCTGAAATGGCTATCTACAGGACCGTCCTGTATACAAGCTCCGAAATGGCTATATACAGGACCGTCCTGTAAACAGCTCTCTGAAATGGCTATATACAGGACGGTCCTGTATATAGCCATTTCAGAGACCTTATATACAGGACCGTCCTGTATATAGCCATTTCAGAGACCTTATATACAGGACCGTCCTGTATATAGCCATTTCAGGGCTTCTGTGCAGGACCGTCCTGTATATAGCCATTTCAGAGAGCTGTGTACAGGACGGTCCTGTATATAGCCATTTGGCGTTGTGTACAGGACCGTCCTGTATATAGCCTCGGCCTTACTGTTCATGAACCACTGGCTCAGATAATGAAAAACAACAACATAAGTTACCATAGCTGTGCGGATGATACCCACATTTACATAACCATTTCACCAGGAGACTATGCTGAGTAAGTGCATTGAACAAATCAATGACTGGATGTGTCAGAACTTTCTCCAATTAAACAAAAATAAAACTGAGGTAATGGTTTTTGGAGCCAAGGCAGAACGTATAAAAGTTAGCGCTGTGCTTCAGTCTGCAATGTTCAAAACAACAGATAAAGCCAGAAATCTAGGTGTAGTCATGGACTCTGACCTGAGTTTCAACAGTCACATTAAAACAATTACTAAATCAGCCTACTATCACCTAAAGAACATATCTAGGATTAAAAGACTAAAGTCACAGCAGGATTTGGAAAAACTTGTCCATGCTTTTATCTTCAGTAGACTGGACTACTGTAATGGTGTCTTCACAGGTCTCACTAAAAAATCTATTAGGAAGCTGCAGCTGATTCAGAACGCCGCTGCTCGAGTCCTCACTAACACTAAGAAAGTGGATCACATCACTCCTGTTCTGAAGTCTTTACACTGGCTTCCTGTGTGTCAAAGAATAGATTTTAAAATACTGCTGCTGGTTTATAAAGCTTTGAATGGTTTAGGCCCAAAATACATTTCTGACCTCCTGCTAAATTATGAACCATCCAGATCTCTCAGGTCTTCAGGGACGGGTCAGCTTTCTGTCCCCAGAGTCAGAACTAAACATGGTAAAGCAGCGTTCAGTTATTATGCTCCAAACATCTGGAACAAACTCCCAGAAACCTCCAGGTCCGCTACAACTCTTACTACTTTTAAATCCAGACTTTTCTTTTTGCCGCTGCTTTTAATTGAACTATTCACATCTTAAACTGCACTGTAACTTTTATTCATGTATTTTTCTTTTAAAGTTTATTTTTATTATCTTTGCTTTTAAATGACTGTTTTTAAATGCCATTTTCTTAATGTCTTTCATTTTTGTAAAGCACTTTGAATTGCCTTGTGTTGAAAGGTGATAAACATTGTCCTTGTGTAAAGAAAATAGTGAAACAAAAATATGCTGAAAAACCATGGATCACTAAGGGAATATTAAATGCATGTAAAATGAAAAATGAATGATATAAAGACTTCTTAAAGAATGGATCAGTAGAGGCTGAACAAAAATACAAGACATACAAAAACAAACTAACAAAGATAATGCGATGTAGCAAAATGGATCATTACAACAAATTATTGGAGGATAACAGAAATATCATTAAAAACACATGGAATGTATTAAATACCATTATTAGAAATGGAAAGGCACAATACTCAAACAGTTTTCTGTCAAAAAACGATACAGTAATTTATGACATGACCTCAGTTGCTGAAGATTTCAATAAGTACTTTGTCAATGTTGGTCCTTATCTAGCTGGGGAAATTCCAAATACTGGTTGTAGTGATGGTGTTGAAAGTAAAGATATATATGTGAAGGAAACTATATTCTTAAAAGGGACTGATGAAAATGAAATTATTGACACAGTTAAAAAACTTAAGAGTAAAAGGTCTACAGACTGTCATGATATTGACATGTATACAGTTAAAAACATTATTGAATGTATAGCCAAACCACTAACTCACATCTGTAATCAGTCAATACAAACCGGTGTATTTCCAAATAAAATGAAAACTGCTAAATTCATACCCATACATAAATCTGGAGATAAACATGTACTGTCAAACTATAGACCAATTTCATTGCTCTCACAGTTTTCTAAAATACTGGAAAAAATCTACTATACAAGACTAAATGACTTCATCACCAAACATAACATACTCTATGAACAACAATATGGTTTCAGAGCAAACAGAACTACATAATTTGCAGTTATAGAATTTATGGAATACATTACTAAGGCAATAGAAAAGAAAGAATATGCAATAGGGATATTTCTGGACCTTAAAAAAGCATTTGACACGGTTGACCATGAATTATTAATACAAAAACTACAGAGATATGGCATTAGAGGTGTTGCACTATCATGGCTATCCAGCTACCTACATAACAGGGAACAGTATGTTGAACTACAAAGCCATACATCACAACTACTGCAGGTTACATGTGGGGTACCTCAGGGCTCAGTCTTGGGGCCATTACTATTTATTCTGTATATTAACAATATATGTGAAGTATCAAAAACTATTAAAACCATTCTTTTTGCAGACGACACAAGTCTACTCTGCTGTGGGGACGATTTAGAACAGCTATTGGTCACAATGGAGAAGGAACTGAGCAGGATGAAGATCTGGTTTGACCAAAATAAATTAACATTGAACGCAAGCAAAACCAAACTCATAATATTTGGGAATCGATCGACCAATACAGAGAAGCAACTCACTATAAATGGCGTCCAATTAGAAAGAGTATCGGAAATAAAATTCCTTGGAGTAATCATAGACAATAAATTAAGTTGGAAACCACATACAAGCTATATCAAAGCCAAAATATCCAAATCAATAGCAATTCTGAATAAAGCCAAATACCTAATTAATCAAGCTTCTTTGTTTATGCTGTACTGCTCCTTCATACTTACTGTATTGTGTGGAAGTTTGGGGGAACACATATAAAACAAATACACATCCTATCTTCATCCTGCAAAAAAGAGCCATACGAGTTATACATAAAACTACGTACAGAGAACCAACAAATCAATTGTTCATCAAACTAAAAACACTAAAACTAGAAGACCTGGTTGACTATAAAACTATTCAAATTATGTTCAAAGCCCCAAATCAACAATTACCTCATAATATCCAAGGACTTTTCACACGGAGAGAAAGCATGTACATGTTGAGAGGAAACTGCATTTTCAAAAAACCACCCGTACGAACAAATGCCAAACTTCATTGCATCTCATCAAAAGGTGTTAGTCTGTGGAATAACTGTAATTATGCACTGAAATATTGTACAAGTCTATCTAAACTGAAAGTATTATTTAGGAGTCAAATCATTAATGGTTATGAACAGGACCTGTAAAATCCCATTTGTTGTTATTTCTTGTAATTGTAAAAGTAATTTCTTTCTGATTGTTTTGTAAAAAAACAAAAAGCAAACAAATTAACAAGACAAACATGTCGCTGATGACGATGACCTAATATTTTATTTATAAGAAAAATATATGCTAGAGGGGGGAGGACCAGAAAAAAAAGTTATATTTGTTGTGCACATTTTATTTCCAGTATGTTCATTGAGTTCTTTCTCAAAGCCTTTTGTGAAACAGATTATTAAGGTTAAATCCAATGTATCCTCATTTCTGATGCATAACAGAAAAAGGTAGTTCTTTGAAATGTTCAAGTGTGTGTCAGTTTGTTCTTCTCCAGCTATATTGTTATAACCTCTGCCAGTACACAATGTATAGTTGATCTGGTGACATTGCATACAGTTTTGATGAAATGGTACACCTTTCTGCTCTTGTGTTCAGAGTCAGAAGCCCTGAGGGAGAGTCCGCTCCTTGTAGCTCTCTGGCGGAGCTTCTGGAGCGAGAGTCCCAGTCAGAAGTGTTTGTGGAAGGCATCAGCTGTTCTCTCTCTAAGGTAGCAGAGCACGGACTGGTCGACGCCGCTGAAATCCTTCTACGATACGGAGCTGAACTAAACTTTGAGGGTAAGCTATCTCGTAAATTAATTGTACACAATAAAATGGCACATACATAGGAGTAGCCAGCCAGATAACCCTAAACAACACTATAAGGGCACACTAATCCTAATCACACTTCTCTTACTGTGACAAGTTATATATGAGTGTTCATTTTTATTATTTTAAACTTAAATCAATTGTTTTCCTCTTGGCAAATTAAGTGCCTTATTGTCACTAGACATCTCTAGGACTTGTTTCTGTAACACAAGGTATATATTTTGCTGCTGTGGTGCAAGAGACATTTCAGACTTGATCTAACAATGAAGTGTTATATTATTATTTTAGCTTTTTTGGCTAGTAGCTACAATAGCTTTCATCTTGCTACAGTTTTAATAGGTGATCGGGAGTCTTTGTCAAATGCACAACAACCTGAATTAGAGAAAATGTAAGAAGTGTGGGACCTAAGTGGCCCTGCCATTTTCAATCTTACACAAGGATTGCATGTTTAAAATTGAGCAAGTTATTGTCCATATACACTGAAGAGAAAAAGTCTCCCTTTTGCAAATTGCAGTGGAAAGTGCTGCATGTCTTACGGCTGTGACAGAATCTGCCAGGGTGTCAGACTCTGCTGTGGTGACCTCTGGTGGTGGCAAGCATGTCTTTCCCCTGGGACATAATTAGGGTTCCTGGCAGAGGCTGCTTCATTCATCTTTTACATGTATTGAATGCCTTTTTCCAGAAAGTTAACACTGACACATTCTCCCACATAGCATGCAACTATGTTCAAGCTTCTCTATTCTTTGTGTTTGTCATGCCTTGATGTTTCAAAATAGTGTGTGCAAACTATCTGAGAGGCCTGTAGCAAAAGCTTATGATAGTAAAGCTAGTTACTAGACAGGTTCGTTTGGTCAAGCAAAAATAATAATACATTGTTAGTGTTCATGCAGCACTTTAAGGCTTATAATATTTATATTTATGTTTTTCGATGTCACAAAGAGCTCAGGAAGTAGTATCAGCAGTATTCGTGTTAGGAACATGAAAATCTACCATATTAATAATGACTACAGCTTTCAAATCAGCCAAAAATAAACCGTATTAACTAGATGGACGGACCCAAGCTTGTTTTAACCCTTAATAATCTGGTCAGTAATATATAGATACATGTAGTAGTATTTACAATCAGGCACAGGGGGCTGTTCTGTTCAATGTAAAGCTTAGAATAAACTTTGGTTTGTAATCTGATTTTATACTGGATTGCGGCAAGCAACAGCGGGGAAGAGTCTGACAACAACAGCTTGAGAAAACACTCAGCCACCAGTTAGTCAACACATATGCTGCATCTGAAGCTCTAAGTAAATAAATACAACACAAGGAAGTACTGAAAACACCCTTTAACCAGATCCTATAAACATGAATTGGGTTGCGGCAAATTGGCCATCATGCCTTTTTAAAGAAAATGTAGCGTTGTCCGAAATCTTAATGTGATAAAGACTCCATTTGTTTAATATTCATTTCTGTTTTTCTATCCAGACCCAGTGTCCTACTATAACCCTCTCCATATGGCAGTTTTGAGGAACAAACCAGACATGGTGAGGCTGCTGGTCAGGCACGGAGCAGACGTTGAAAAGAGAGACAGGGTGAGGCAACTCTGAATGATTTATGTCCTCTTTTGTTCTCATGTTTATCTTTCTGTAGCATTGTGTGTGTAATATAAATGTAACTTGGTAGATCCATGAGAGCAGTCCTTTGGATCTGGCCAGTGAGGAGTTGGAGAGGCTACCCTGCTTGCTCGTCCTTCTGGAGCTCGGTGCTGATGTCAATGCAAGGGATAAACATGGTACATTGCCTGGCCTTATTCCAAGATATTTATCCTTTCACTGGTTGGTTCATTCTAACACCTGATTGTTTTGGTTTCGTCCCTAAAGGAAAAACCCCTTTGCTCCATGCCTTTGCAAGCAGCGACGGACTCACTGTGCTCAACACAGAGAACATTGAGCTTCTTCTTCAGAGAGGTACTGACTGTGAAACAGCCTTCATCTTCACTTTGCCTTCTTGTCCACTTTCAAACAGAATCGCACTCAAACCACTACATTCAGGAAATTGTGTTAGTATGCATACCTGCCCACCTGTATGCATTTTGAGATCAAAGTAAACTCAGGGGTTGTCAGGTTTAAATATGTACATAGAGTTGTTATCGAAAATGGAGCAGAACTAACTCTGTGATTCCGGTGTGAAGCGACTGACTGACTGACAGACAAGACTTTTAACTGCGGGAGGTTTAGGAGTCAAAGTCTTTCACGTCTTCATAGGCAGTGTAGTGGTGTCATCAATCTGCTTTATTAGTATTTACAAGCAGTGAACACCAGCATAAAAAAGCAGCACATTGGGGATTGTATTAAAAGCCAGTTTATCACAACTGTTGGAAGTCATCCAGAGCTATGAAGTTGATCAATAAACAAAAAATTCTATTTATATTTTAAAATAAAAGTTTGTCGTTCATATCATGGCCATAAATACTGTTTGAGCCTCTCAAATATGAAGATATCCTGCTTTTCTTTGTTTAATATTGATTGAGATGCCCGGTCCTGTTATTTGATGTTTTGTTTAAGAAGCTGCAATAGCTGCTTTACAGTATACGTGATTCTACAGTATGAGTAAAGAATCACAACAAGCCAATCTGTTATAAAATAATCTTAATTTAAAGAAAGCAACACTACAGACTATTGGTCAAGCTATGTCATTCTCTACTGCCTTGATTTGTACTATTCCTTCTCATTCATTCTTTCTAATTATGATCTGTCTTGAAAGTTACCAAACCTTATAGAAGTAGGCCTACTATACATGTATGTCTAGAGTAGCCTTTCATGTAGGCAGCAAAGGCTCAATTTAAAACCAGTCAATGCTCTGTAGTTTTGTTTTTGTGTTTTCATAAAGGGCCTAATCAATTACTAATTTGTAGAAATGATCATCAATAAATATAGTTTATTGTCAAATTGGCTCATTATTTGAATTTAATTTGAACTTCTCTGCAGGCGCTGACGTGAATGCGGCTTCTTTAGACGGCGAAACGGCTTTGTCCTTGCTGGTGTTTGTGGTCACGGAGGCTCTGGAGGCCACCGCGGAGGACGCTGCTGAGATGGGTAACTTTTGCTTGAAAGCCACACAGCTACTTTTGTCCCACGGTGTGGACCCCAGCTCCTGTCTGAATGCGGACGGCAAGTCCTCGGTGATGCCCACCCTGACGCAGACGAGCCTGGAGCACTTCGACCTGCTCTTCCCTCTGGCGGTGCTGTTAATCCGGAGCGGAGCGTCTTTGGTTTGCTCCCATCACGGCGACTCTTGTTGGTCAGGGTACAGCCTCCTTTTCCAGCGGCTCCACACAGCCCTGCAGCAATGCCCCGATAAAAGTCACGCCTCCGAGCTGCTGGAGCAAGCTGAGGTGTTGCTCGACTTAGCGAAGGTTGACCTCATCGCGTTGCATGTGGAAGTGAAGCTCCCTGTGCCCGGTCGGGACCCTCACCCCTACGCTCAGGCTCTCAAGGACCTGCACAGCCGCGTAGAAGAGCATGAAGCGAACCCTCCTGCTCTGCAAAGCTTTTGTCGGGCGTTTATAAGGAGCCACCTACAGCCTGGGCCCCTGGAAGACAGAGTGAAAGCTTTGCCATTACCGGACAAACTGAAAGACTTTATTCTTCCTGAGCCAATCCCTAAGCCCGGCTGGGACTGCTTCAAGCCCCAACTTAGCCAGCGCTGACAATATAAGCTACCAATAATTCGTGTTCTACCTGAAAATCTAAATTGAAGGACTGAAAAGGCCCGTAGTAGTTGTATAAAAGTACTGGTCACCATTGAGGCCTTTATTTTAAATCTTATTATAGTTTTCTCTGCCAAATGACCAGACAACCAGTGTATGTTTACTTCAAGACACAAAGTTATGTCAAATAAACAACTAAATGTTCTGATTAAACTGCCACACAGTGAAGTCAGTCATATCAGTGAGTTTAGGCAGCGGCAATACACAATAAAGTCCACCAGATGGCAATGTTGCTCTCTCAGCTCAGATGTTAGGGTCACAGATGTAACCATTCACAGAGCAGCATGTTTAAGTTGCTCCAGCGAGCGCAGTAGGCTCCATCTATATTTCATCTCCTCAACATGATGATGGTGTATTGTGGAATTTGTGAATATTCTCGCTTAAATATAAAAATGAACCAATAAATCAGTCGGGTTTCTCCCCATCAGAGTCCTGACAGCTGCACACAAATATCAGTTTGACATTATTTTTGTTATGGCTGTCAACATGTAACTGTTTGTAGCTGACCACCAGATAGTGACAGTGCAGCGCTGATAGTGCCTCACACTCACTGGCTGCCTGGTTATAGGGAAGTAATTGTTGCTATATATATTTAGCATGTTCATACACCAAACATCAGTTGAGTGAATGCAACAAAAAAAGGAATATAACGCTCCAACACTGCAGGAAGCCTGTAGATGTTTTGACATTGTTCCACTGTGACATAATGTGTCTGCAGTGGCTGCTGGCCTGGAAAGTTTTACCAAGCATTCTTAATGCTAATGTTTAAATTCAGATGAATTCAGGGGCCCTTTCCTCTTTTTTTTTTTTTTTGCTTCCTCATATGCACAAACCCCAATCTGCACATCCCGTCTTTGCTAATAAACAGACGGCTTCTAAAAGAAACACACCCCTGTAATGCGGAAATACTACAGGGTACATATGTGTTTGCGTCCATGTCTCTGTGTGTGTGAGCAAACTAAATAGGACATTGTGTTACACAACTAACCCCTTCCTGACATTGCTGAAGCTGGAGTGGCTCCAAGGCTTGCAAGCGCTCCAGCTCCTCTTGGTTATCTAGGTCACAGCCTCTGAGGAGAAGAGCCTCAGCAGCAGCAGCAGCAGCCCTGCATGACACACGCTTCACTCTCCTGTCTGACTGAATCTCTTGACAAAACCTCAACACTGGCCCTGGTCGAACGAGGGAGGGAGAGAGAGGGAGGAGGTTGGGAGGGGGTTGCAGGAGGCAGAGCAGTGAGAAGAAAAAAAAGTTACAGAGACTGCATATGTGGAGTGGTTGTGGGAGCACTCATGGAGGACACATGGAAATGGCAACGTTGGATTACATTTATACAATACACTAGCTGTAGGAACATAATCCATCCAACCAACAATCACTACGGCGGGGGGGAAACAGCCTTCTTCCACTGAGTCCAATCCCTGCTTGTAGAAGGTGATAGAGATAGTGGGGGAGGGCTGAGGCAGTCCAGCATTTATTGGAAAACAGCGCGAGTGAAGCTCGGTACTGAAATTAGTTATTGATCTATTCTCTCCCTGAAGCCCATGGGTCTTTCCTACCACACCTGCTCGTTCTCTCAGAGCCTTTTCTTTCCCTGCAACCCATTGTATCTCTCGCTTCTGTGCTTTTCTGCTTCTACTGTAGTTCTTGTTATTTTCTTCAAATCCTCTCGTCATACAGAGAAGTCGTTTAAAACTAAGATTCCAAGAATAAACTCATGTCTACTACAAAGTTGTATATTAACATACTCCATTATTAATTAACAGTATCCATTTAAGGGCATTTCACTGCAAATCATTGATTATTAAAACAATACTTCTAGTTTATGGTAAAAAAAAAAAGTGATACTTAAATGAAAACCTTATATAACATTCTTGATATGTTCCCCTTTTTATTTGAAATTCTTCTCTTAACTACATAGCATTTTTTTAGATAACCATTTTCTGTTATAAACAAGTGTTGTTTATTTCGAATTCTTCTTGGTCTTAAGAAGTCCCTGACGTCATTGCCAGCTCCAGCAGTATTGATGATAAACTCTTTGACTTAACTTTAGAAAAAAAGGACATTTAATGGCACACGCATATAAGATGTTTTGAATGATACACCAACCAAAAGTTATTGTATTGATATCAATTCAAAAAAAGCACTTGGAATGTAACAATGAGCCTGAAACATGAAGAGACATCTTTTTCTTTTTAAATTTGGACAATAACTGTTTCTAAAATATTGCTGCTTTTTTTGTATTCATGGTGGTGCTTGTTGGCTGAGTTCCCAGTCTGGCTCTAAACATTGTTATTAACCACTGCGTCACCAACTCAAGCACATCGTGGTCTATCCCGGGACTTCTCTTTTATACATTGAGCCTGTGCAGTGTGCATCTCCTTGTCTTTCAGTATACATTGTCTACCAGTAGACATCGTCTAGACACGGGATGATTGCAGACTTCACTGAACACTCAGCTGCTGCATGAAACCTCATGGGAGCAGAGGTGGACTTTGGACGGAAAGGCCCAGCAGTCAGTGAGGGGTAGGGGGGGGGGGTAACACTCACACCCCTTTTAGATTGGGTATTTAAGTGTTTGCCCATACATCTTCGTGCTGTAAGTGTTTTCTGGTGTGTGAAGGCAAGCCTGAATTCAGATGTGTGTGTGTGTGTGTGTGTGTGTGTGTGTGTGTGTGTGTGTGTGTGTGGGAGAGAGCAAAAGAAAAAGCGTAGACATTGACACACACAGTGTTCATAACCGCAGATGTGGTGACTTCATCACCAGAAAATGTAACCCGTCCTACTGCTCTGCTAGCGTTGATGGAGCTCAGCTAAATGAGTGGCTGTTAATGCTAACATGAATAAAAGCAAGGCAATAGTAGTCTGCACTTTAGCTGGCTTCCATACAGCAAATGTATCTCCCATAACAATATTGTTGTTTTTCCCTCGCACTATTAAATGTGAAGATTTGACTCTGTGTATCTGTCTGTTGGTCTCTGAGATGGTCACAGGTTGCCGGGTTCATCCAGGGCGTAGGACTAATCTCAGTGGGGGTGGATTGGATGCAGGATAACAGTCCTGTTGGGGCAGGCCACCTTCTCATTCTGCTCCAGGTGTTCCTCCTTCAGACTGACATACCGACTGCTGAGCACAACGCTCAGCAGCTTTTACTCATTTGGCTTCATTCTTTAAAGTGTTCTGGCTTTTTGTTTGAAAGATAGCCTTTAAGGAAAAATATGTCAACTTTAAATGAGTTACTTGTTGGAAAATGGAGAGATCCTTCAACAGTTACCCTACTTTCCTGTCTACTTTTCTCTTTTACATCTCTTCCTAAATGTGTTTTTCTAAATGCGTAGCTTTTCTCAAATCTTAGGTTTTCCCAAATCTAGTTGGAAGTAGAACTGCTCCAACAAGTAACCTTACTGCTACACACAGACAAAAAGCTGCTCCTGCTCTTTGAGCTTTGAGGAGGAATAATTGAAGTGGAGCACGCCGAAAAAAGTTACGGTTCCATACTCCTATTTTAGAAGCACACAAATCCACCACCCTCCACATTTCTACAACTGACGCCATTTCACAGAAATTCCAGACAACTGGCGCCTGAGCTCTGCCTCAAGAAGGACATGATGAATAGGACACACCCTTAGTATGCTAGTGAATGTTAGAATATATGGCACACTGCAGTGTTACAGCCTAGATTCATTACAGCCTCTCTTCCCAGCTCTTTAGAGTGTCGGTTTTTCTGCTTCTCTCCCCCTTGCGTTTCATGCTGCTCGCCTATTTTTAAAAGCTTGAATTTGAGTGAAATGCACTGAGGCACCAGTAAGGCGAGCTACAGCTCTTCCCAGCGCTGGTTCCTGATCCACCTCTTTGTTGTGGTCTATGCATGCCTGCTCTAGTCACATGACTGCGTTTCTATGGCAACTCGGGTTTGAGTAATCATTTGCGTTACGACCTTTATTCCCTTGAGGAAAGGGGAGGGGGAGGTTAGACTGAGCCTGTAGAAAGCGGGAGCAAGAGGAAAGAGAAAAGATAGGCAGAAGGGAAGAGAAAATAGGCAGGAACACAGCGGCTGTGGAGAAAATGTGTTGCTCTTTCTTTCCTTTTATATTTTATCTTTTCCTCTTCGTACCGAATCCCAGCCTCCACCTCACCGTATTCAGTAGCTGAGAAGGGAAAGAAGAAAAAAGGCTGCCACTAAACACTGGGTTGTGTGCTTCAGTTTCAACCATAATGTCTTTTATGCTGTGACTCACTCTGTGACTAGGGCAGGCGAGTGAGTTTGGTTGGAGAGGCAGCAGGCATGTATGTTTCACAAGGGCCTACACACACACACACACACACACACCTCCCCTTCTCTTCTTCTCGGAGGAAAAGCAGTACTCTGCCACATGTGCAAGTCTCAGCAGAAACAGATTCTGTATGTTCCTGTTTCTTGCTCTCCCGGCTGTGTTGTCATGGTTACAGAGCTAGTCCACCAAGGCACGCAGCTCCCCTCTCTCCCTCCCTGCCTCCCTCCCTCCCTCTATCTTTTTCTCTCTCGCCACCGTTGGGTGATTCAACCCATCAGTTGGGTTGTGTCATCTCCTAGATGGAGTTTCTAGCTCCCACATCTCCTAAATGGAGTTTTTCAGTTTGTGTTCCAATTGGATTCTAGTTTGAGAAAATAGGATACATGTGTTTGTGTGTATGTGGGTGAGGTATGGGTGAGTTTTGCGGGCGTCCTTTACCCGCAGTACTGGGGATCAAGCATTGACAGGAGGTGAGCTGGAATGGGGGTCTGGTGATAGACACTGAGGGGGTTGTGGAGAGGGTGGAGGTGGTGCTGGTGCTGGCTGCTTCCAGGTTCCTGCGACTGGGGCTGAATATGAATGAGGGGCCTCGGCCCTCCAGAGATGGCGGCTGGGGAGAGAGCTGCTAAAACCAGAGACCAGTGGAGCCTGGCTGCGTGAGAGTCCCCCACAAGCTGCTGACAGGAGCTGGAGCTAGCCATCACGTTAATTAGCGTTTTTACTCTCGCAGCTCCGAATAGGGGGAGTGGGTTAGAGAGGGATGTGGGGGTGGTATATGACTCAGAACACAGTATGGTTTATTCATGATGGAGGAAGGGGATTTGTGTGTGTATTTCCTTAGCAGATCACTGATTGGCACTAAGCCAAGATATTATTATGTCTTGAACATAATAGCGGGATTTCATGGTTTCTTTCATTGAGATTTCTTCTGAAATAATGTTACAAAACACACTGAACTAATTCTTTTTTTAATCTAAAACTAGATATTTTCCTATCGTTGTGTAATACTTAATGTTACAGGAAGTTTGACAACACATAAAGATGATGCCAGTAACAAACTAGAAGCTGTAACATTTTACTTTTAATTTCCTCTGTTACTGAAACATTATTGATCGCAGGCTTTTGAGGCCTGTCTGGGGAGCTTCAGACTGATGACATGGGTTAGGGGTGCCTCTCTCATATAGGTGACCTGACCTTGTCTCCTCTGCCTCAGCCTCTGACAGTGATCCTCACCCCCCTGAGTGATGCGTGAGATCAATAAATTGGTATTTTCCCCACACCAATCACGAAGGACCCCCCATCCAGGTTGAGCAGAGCTGAGAAGAAGAGCGGCTGCAATAGAAAGAACATTCCAGAAGAATCGTCTCCTCCTCAGTCTGTTCGATCGCTGTGTGTGTGTGTGTGTGTGTGTGTGTGTGTGTGTGTGTGTGTGTGTGTGTGTGTGTGTGTGTGTGTGTGTGTGTGTGTGTGTGTGTGTGTGTGTGTGTGTGTGTGTGTGTGTGTGTGTGTGTGTGTGTGTGTGTGTGTGTGTGTGTGTGTGTGTGTGTGTGTGTGTGTGTGTGTGTGTGTGTGTGTGTGTGTGTGTGTGTGTGTGTGTGTGTGTGTGTGTATATAAGAGGGTGTAAGGGGGGGTTACATTACAGCTATGCTATTGTCTAATTGTCTCCTCTTATCATTAGTGACAACCATGACCTCTGTTATTGGCATATCTGCATTCTGCCTGCACTGCAGAGCCTCCACCACACTACTCGTAGCGTTTTCTCTCCCAAGAGCGGCAGGGCCCATGCCTCATAAATACAAACACAATCTCTCCTACACCTCCTGACTGCAGGACAGGACTCCACACATATCTGCCCGTGGAGCGCAGCTCATTTGCATACATATTAAAGTGACGCCTCAGAAAAAAGGAAGAGAGAAAGAGGGGGGAAGTAGAGGAGGGAGGGAGAGAGAGAGCGGGTATATGCAAACAAGGCTTTCATCTAATATGCAAGAACCGGCATCGCTCTGGCATAAATCTGCATCTGAGCTCAGGCAAAGAGAGCGGAGCCCATTTGACAGTAAATGGGCTGGGGATGGCTGTCAGATGCACAGGGGAACAGTGTGTTACCCCACAGAGAACGGGCGATTGATCCGTATGGCATGTCACACATAGCAACAACTACAAGGTAACAATGGCACATGGTAACTAAAACCTATGGATGGCATTAGAGGAAATACATGGGGGATAGATAATAAAGTATATCAAAAAAATATGGGTTGTTGAAAATAAAAGTTGAATGTTTTTTTGTTATGTGCTTGTTTGTTATTTGATTTTTGTGCAAATTAAACAAATCTACAAATCAGATATAAAGTGTTAATTAGTGAACTGTAGAGATGCTGGTAGGCACATTGTTACCTTTGGACAGAGCTAGCATGTTTCAGTCTTTATGCTAAAATTAGCCAGTGTGGCTGCTGGTTCCAGCTTCATTTTTACTACACTGAACAAAAATATAAACGCAACACTTTTGTTTTTGCTCCCATTTTTCATGAGGTGAACTCAAAGATCTAAAACATTTTCTATATACACAAAATAACCATTTCTCTCAAATATTGTTCACAAAAAAAATCTGTGATAGTGAGCACTTCTCCTTTGCCGAGATAATCCATCCCACCTCACAGGTGTGGCATATCAAGATGCTGATTAGACAGCATGATTATTGCACAGGTGTGCCTTAGGCTGGCCACAATAAAAGGCCACTCTGAAACGTGCATTTTTGCTTTATTGGGGGGGTCTGGGGGGGTCCGAAAACCAGTCAGTATCTGGTGTGACCACCATTTGCCTCACGCAGTGCAACACATCTCCTTCGCATAGAGTTGATCAGGTTGTTGATTGTGGCCTGTGGAATGTTGGTCCACTCCTCTTCAATGGCTGTGCCAAGTTGCTGGATATTGGCAGGAACTGGAACACGCTGTCGTATACGCCGATCCAGAGCATCCCAAACATGCTCAATGGGTGACATGTCCGGTGAGTATGCTGGCCATGCAAGAACTGGGATGTTTTCAGCCTCCAGGAATTGTGTACAGATCCTTGCAACATGGGGCCGTGCATTATCATGCTGCAACATGAGGTGATGGTCGTGGATGAATGGCACAACAATGGGCCTCAGGATCTCGTCACGGTATCTCTGTGCATTCACAATGCCATCAATAAAATGCACCTGTGTTCGTCGTCCATAACATACGCCTGCCCATACCATAACCCCACCACCACCATGGGCCACTCGATTCACAACATTGACATCAGAAAACCGCTCACCCACACGACGCCACACACGCTGTCTGCCATCTGCCCTGAACAGTGAAAACCGGGATTCATCCGTGAAGAGAACACCTCTCCAACGTGCCAGACGCCATCGAATGTGAGCATTCGCCCACTCAAGTCGGTTACGACGACGAACCGGAGTCAGGTCGAGACCCCGATGAGGACGACGAGCATGCAGATGAGCTTCCCTGAGACGGTTTCTGACAGTTTGTGCAGAAATTCTTTGGTTATGCAAACCGATTGTTGCAGCAGCTGTCCGAGTGGCTGGTCTCAGACGATCTTGGAGGTGAACATGCTGGATGTGGAGGTCCTGGGCTGGTGTGGTTACACGTGGTCTGCGGTTGTGAGGCCGGTTGGATGTACTGCCAAATTCTCTGAA